TCATGTAGCCGCCAGTAGATAGGAATTGCAAAGAGGAAGGATCCAAGCAGGAAATCACATTTAATAGTGCCATTCAAATGTGCCAGGGAGAGAGAGGTAAGGAGTGAGGATGCAGGAGAGGAGATACGGAAGTGAGAGCAGATGATTGTTTGGCCTCAGGCAGCGATGCCTGTACCCTATCACTCTAACTTCATCTCTCTTTCAGTTTCGTGTCATCCCACCCTACTATCATGTCGAGCATAGATGAAACATTGAGGTAAGTGGTAGTTTCTCTCCAGAAGACAACAGGCACACCTGAATTTTCACTGACTTCTATTCATGCCTACCTTCCTATAGAGGTATAGATAGTACTACAAGGAACGTGGTCCATTCAGCCTTAAGTGAGTCAGGCACCAGGGAATCGGTGATCATTATTTAGAAATTGCGAAGTGAGGCATAGAAGCTCCACCATACCTCAATATCACGCAAACAGCGAGATTTCATACATATCTTTCTTCCTCCAGTTCATCTTCGTCATCTTCATCGCCTTCCATCTCTAGCTCCTCTACCTCCTCTTCTTCCTCATCCTCTTCAAATATGCCAACCCCCGAACCCATTCCGGCATAAGGATCGAGGTCTTCGTCGGTGACTTCAGCAGCGCCACTGAGGGCAAGAACCCGATGCAGAATCCATTGCATATGCAACAGCTTCTCAGATGGGAGCGGATATTTTTCCGGGTCACTAGTATGAAAGAGAAGCTGGTCTCCACATTGTATCTTGGATTCTTTTTCTAGATCAAAGAGCTTGGCCGCTTCTTCTCCAGCCACAGTGCAAGATGAGTGATTGGTGGGAAAGGCAGTAGGCTGACTGTTGATAGAAACTTTGTGACGGTATCGGTAGGTCGGGAGCCAGAAAAATTGAACAGTCAATGTTTTCCGGTCTTCACTGATGCCCACAGGCCGCAGAGCAAAGCGAGCCTTCTCCCATAGCTTGTGTACGATGTTCACCAACGACATCAGGTTCGAACAGATTTCTGTAGTACGCATGACCTCCGCTTCCCAGCTATTGACCATCTCCTTAAACCAATAGTTTCTCAAGACGCCCCAGAACGCGCTCTTCTCAACTGTTGTTCTGCTTCCGAGGGAGAAGGGGTAGATGTGCGCTATTTCTATTGGTTCGCGGAAATGTGTTATAAGACAGGTATTCCGATCACGTTCATCGCACTAAGTAGGATTAGCAATTGACTCAATCATACTGCATATGAAAAGAACATACTAGTCTCTTTGCCACTTCGCTTCGGACAGTCTTATTCGGCGATGAAGAGGTAGATCTCCCCTTGATAGGGGTGTTTATTTCCGATTGGCTGGCCGCCTCCTTGGCATGTTTATTCCCGTCCTTGCTCTGAGATTTGGTTCTATCAACCGGTCGTGGAAGCTTTGTTGGGCTCTGGGATCGAGAATTAGGTCCCCTGATATTTTCTGCGATTCTTCTTTTTTCCTCGGCCGCTGCATTCCAGGAGGCACTTTTATCACGCGACACCCCTTGATTAATGTGTCAGCTAATACGCGGTACTAACTAGGGGTCACTTACAGGCTCTTATCGTTCTGAGCCCCGCGTCCGATGTAAGGGCTTGTTGCGTATTAGTGGACGCTATACCCGCTGTGTTGATAATGTCGATATGTTCCTGTATGCGCTCTATATCTGCGAACCACAGGATGGCCCATGTGGCCGAATCAACCTTCACATCTTGCATAGCTTTCGCCAGTTCATTAATGAGGACAACTCTCCGATTGTTAACCAGCTCATCTGCGGGACCCGCCGAAGCCGAAGATCCTGAAGCGGTATCCATGATGTTTGAAACGGCGAGAGGAAGGTGAAACGGTGAGATGAAAGTGAAACGAATGTGATAATACCGAGAAAGCCTGAGGTAGAAGGAAGGTATTATGAATCCTGCTAACGGATGTCAGTGGAATGATATTTGTTTTGCTTTTCTTTTGTTTGGGGGGGGGGTGGGGGGGGGTGGTAGACTCACAAAGGACTTGGTAAGAACCGAAACTCTCGTAGAGAGTCGACTTACCAGTGTGTTAAAAGATTGTCAGGTATTCTTTCTCCACAAGGACTTACACTAGATAGGACGAAGAAAGTCAAGGAGGAGGGTGGGAGGAAAAAGCTGTATGATCGTTGATTCGATATGATGAGGTGACCATGTCGGTCAGGTGACTGACTAACCTGATCCGAACGTACAGGGTATGCAATAATGACAATGGGCGGTACTGCTCCCGCTGTTGTTCTAGCTGCTGTCACTCTAGTTACTTGTGCTCGTGCTTTTTGCGCGCTCTGTAGGCCATCTTCTCCTGGCGCTGTCTCTCAATCAGCTCCCATTCTCCGAGAAAATCCTCCAAGCTTCGCACGGCCAAAATATAAGCTATCATCATCTCGGTGTTGAGAAGGAATATCCGCGAGGTTACTCAATGTAGGAAGCCTCTTAGGTGCTGGCTCTCTGTATATCCACAAAAGTCACGATGAGGCAACCTTACGAGCAACATTATCTCCGCTTAAAAAACAGCAGAACCTTTGCAGACCCCGTCCGCAGCTTCCCATCTGCATCCAACCCACTGGCCTCTCGGACCTCTCTCATAGCAACCCTCACGCAGTCCTCATCCGTCCGCACGAGATGCGGGTTATCCTCTCTCCATCGGGTCACCATACTGGCTGTATCGAAGCCCTCCTCCAGTTCCTGCACCGTATAATCCCCTCCACCAAAGAAGAAATCTTCGCCATTGGTCAAAACTCCGTCCCTGTCCCACTCGTGGCGAACAAAGTCCGCCTGTGGGAAGGCCGATACCGCAGGCTCGACATCCCACGGCATGGGCAGGTTGTCATACATATCCCGGGAGAGCCGGTTCGAAGGGAGCTCATACGGCCCAAGAGCACCGAGCTCCAGGCGGAACAGTGCTTTTTGGACTTCTTCCGCATTGGGAGTTGCGGGATCTGAACATCAATCAGCGTTACTCACAGACGGGGACATGTTCCGCGCACGGCAAAAGAACGAGGACGAAGTCCATAAAGCTACTGTTCCACCAGGCTTGACCACCTTGGCTGCTTCAGCCCAGAACTCGGGCATTGAGAACCAATGGGCCTGTCATTACGATTAGACCGTTGTCCGTTGTGGGAATTGGAGGGGGACGCTTACTGCCATCGCTGCTGTGAGCAGGTCGACCCCATTCTCAGTCCCCGGGGCACTGGCACAATTCTCTGCAGATGCGACGTGATATGAGATTGACTGATCGGTCATGGTCAACCCTCCTAGATCCTGGGCAGTCCGGATCATCTCTGACCCAGGGTCGACTCCTATGGCTTGTTGGAATGACAGAGCCAAGTCGCGCGTTGCGTTACCTGGGCCACAGCCGACATCTAGTAGGGTATCGAACTTCCCACCTGTTTCTTCATGGTGGCGAAGGACAAGTTCGATGAGCTTGGATTTGTACGATCCACGGGCTTCGGCGTATTTCTTCGCCTGCTCGCTGCTGTAGTTGCGAAAAGTTGGGTCGGACATGGTGAATTCTGTGTTGTTTCAAGGTGTAATTGAGCGATAACTGATTAATATACTACGATTCACTAAAGTGAGGCAGATGGGTGACGTAGGCAGCAGTTTTTAGTGCTTACTCAATGAGTCAGTGGTGTATAAATGATACCGGGCTTCCGTCGGCGATAAGTGACATTGACATTGGCCCGGGAAACGTGACTCGTGTCTACCCTCCCATTCTCAGATGACCGAAAAAGATCGTCCGTGTTTTCTCCAGACGCCTTCCAATGAGCCGCTGGTTGTTCAATCCCGGTATACCGTAAAAGGCATGGTCGATCTTGTGATAAGCATGCTTCCAGTCCAAGTTGTCCGGACCAGGGAGCTCTTCGTTCTCCAGAATCAGGGTTTTAATAAAGCGAATACGCCAGTAGCACTCTGGAATTACTTGTTCCCATCGGGGGAACGCCGTCAGGAGGGCCTCCATGTCACGGGGTCCTTCGAGCAGGTCCATGATTATCAGGATAATTTCTGGCGGAGGAACAATTTTTGCCATCGTTATCTTCCGCGGAGAACGGAGGCAAATCTGATTGGTCGATGGCGGCTTTTCGCGGGCCATCTATCTCTTCTTTTGGGGGGGCTTCTCGGGCCTTTCGATCTTTTTTCATCTCCGCTGCTCTTGGAAGTGTTGCTTTTCCATCTCCATTCAAACATGAACAAAGGCCACCTTTAATGGATCCGAGCGACCACCACATTGTGATACAAACCACACACTTTCCTTACTAATCCGGAGACTGAAGTAATAAATTCTTTCTCCACAATATAAGCCTCGACCAACTTCTCTGGAGCTCTGGTTGGCGGTCCGATATAGAATTCATCACTGTTGCGAGGCAGCGCCAAGATCCCATAATTTGGCCATATAACACCGACGCCAGTGAGATATTGGGCCCCGCGAGCATAAAAGACTACCTGATTGGCGTGATTCGCTGCAGGTCTGGATTTGGGAAGGAGGGGCGGTGCATACTTGCCTGACAAAGACCTCTCCATATCCGAGGAGGACCAAAGTACATATTCACCAGCTCAGATGGCTGGCCAGTCAGGCCCTCATTCTGGTGTAGGCGAGATTTATATTCCGCCCAATGATTTTTATATCGCTGTAGATCATATAGTATTATAACGTCTCGGCAGATGGCACCTGAGTGGTGGATACGACTATGTTTGAGTGTCCCCGGCGGTGGCATTCTGACTGAACTTTCCTTGTCATTCTGCAGCATGACACTGGTACCTATATTGGCTCACCAAAAGGTCGGTGCCTTCCTTGCGTCACTGTCGCAAAGAACATATTCTCTGATCATGGAACGTCATTACATCTGCGAACTTCGTACAAATAAAGCATCCCAATGAATGTCACGGCTCCCATAACAACTCCATGCAGGGAATTTGTCTACCTGGAGAAAACACAGTCAGAACAAAAAAAAAACACAAAAAATATCAGCTTCGACCGAGGCGTGACTCGAACACGCAACCACTAGTACCGGAAACTAGCATTCTACCATTGAACTACCCGGCCTGACTTGATGTCTGGGAGCTGAGAAATTGGTTTAGATTCCGGGTTGGATTGGAGTTTTGATGGTGAGGGAGTCGGATGATGGGTCACGCTCAGTATTACCCCTTCCACCCCTGATTCAGCGGGAGGCCTTGTGTATGGTTCTGAGAAGCTTGGGTACTCAATAGCTTGAAGATTACGATCTGTCTACATCTCTCTTGGTAGTTGTCGCCAGGGGCCAAACCCCACCAGATATATATAATGATATAGGGCCATTGTTCATATGGTGATCGAACCCCGGAGTTTGGGAAACTCAAGTACCTACAGTGTGAAGCAGGGCAGCTCCAGGGCAATGAATGAAGTGGAATGCTTTGCACACTGTCACACTAATGTGTAAGGTCCTGACTTCCTCAACACCAGAAGAGTCGATGGGTGGGACATCTCATGAGATAACCCATTAACCGAGCCTTATCACACCCCACAATTAGAGCAAATCTGGCTAGCGCCTATGGAGCAAGATATATTTAGAACATCATGCATTAGTAGTGTCTATAGAGTGGATCCACTATCAACATGGCCCGTGCACTGTGAACGCGCTTAACAGAACTAATATCATTGGTCAGATATCTCCACTCTGAAACTTTAGAGCGGTTTCTCTCAGAGGTGCATTAGTGCTGTGACTACTTGGTCTGTGCATAGGCTGCATGCTGCTGAATGACCAACTATCATTGGTCAGATATCTCTACTCTGAAATTTTAAAGCGGTTTCTCTCAGAGGTGCATTAGCGCTGTGACTACTTGGATTTCTCTCAGAGGTGCATTAGCGCTGTGACTACTTGGTCTGTGCATAGGCTGCATGCTGCTGAATGACCAACTATCATTGGTCAGATATCTCCACTCTGAAAATTTAGAGTGGTTTCTCTCAGAGGTGCATTAGCGCTGTGACTACTTGGTCTGTGCATAGACTGCATACTTCCGAATGAATGGCTCTAAATGCTGATCACACATCACGTGCGTTACACTCTGCTAGCTAACTCAAATAGGAAGTAATGCTATGCCTATATTACCTATGCATCAAGCTTGAGGCTCTGCAATCAGTGCAAGGACTTGGGCCACTGACCATGCACAGGTCGTGGCATGATCATATTTGATTTTGTTCTGATAATAATGCTGCCTAGTCATACCCAGGTGATTACTGCGTATTGAAGGGAATATCTACTCCGGTGAAGTGCAAGGTTCCTTCAACATGACATTGTGGCATGTTATACTGCAACGAGTCACATGATGCATGATCACGGTCTTTCCTCAGTCTGCTTCCCACCTGCTTTTAGCTCCCACATTCTCCCCGACCGTGAAATTTCTTAGCAGGATCCAAGACCTGTTTCTTTTCTTCCTTGATCGGTTCATCTCCCTGTCTGTTAACCTCCCTGTTTGTTCCACTCCATCAGTTTACCTCCATCAGTCTACCTCTTTATCAGCCTATACCAACAATCAGTCCTACGCCCCCCCCGCGTTATGGAAGTCAATAACCCCCCCATGGGACCGGCAGAGGAGCTGGCTGACACGCAGAGATGTCAGCTCATCGATGAGCTCGCGAACCTTGTGGATAACACACCAGTTAATTCAGCCACATGGGCTTGCCTCTGGTTCGGAGACATTGAAAGGATAAGGGAGCTTGTCCACGTCCTCAAGCTGAATAAGGACGTGGAAGACATTGTGCACACCTCCGTGACAAGCTATCTTAGAAGCGATTCTGCCACGAACATGCTCAAAGCATGTAAGTAATCCCCACCTGTTATTATATATTAGCTGACCTTGGGACTAGGGGCGATGCTATATGATCCAGAGACATCGGAGAACTTGGATCACAAAGGAGATGATAAGGAGGATGATACAAAGTTTAAGGAAGCCACGAGCAGAAAGAGGAGGCGTGACGCTTCGCGGTCAAGGAGTCCTTCTAAAATCCCTAGGTTGACCTGTGGGAATATGAGCGACACGTTGGCTCAAGAAGAAACAGAGAACATCCTTCTCCCGGATATCAATACTGGAAGTACAACAAAAGCCACCTCTTCATCGGATGATGATTGTGAAGAAACCGCAGAGAGACTGGTACGTTCATTGTTTAGTAATACATTCGATCACTTGCTGATTAGTCTCAGTGTTGTGAACGAGATCAGAAAGCATGTCTTTTGACAGGTTTCAGGGAGCCACTCGAGATAGGCTATATATGCCCCTTCTCCTTTGACCAGCACAAAGAAACTGATAACCTGTTCTGGAAGACCCAGCACTTCTTCTGGTCCAAAGAGAGGGTCAATGCTTGGAAACAGGAAGTCCTTGGTCCAAACGGGACCCAGGTTTGCTCAAATTCCGTGTGCTTCGTCAACCTAGCACTCAGTCTGTGGGAAAATGCACGATTTGCGTTGCGGCCCTTGGCCCTGAGTGAAGACCGGAAGAGACTAACTGTCGAGTTTCATTGGCTTCCGGCCCATGCTTACCGTCGATCAAGATTGATAAACACACGGCCCGACGCCTTCCCCATCAATCTGTCGTCTTACATTGTGGGGGGGAAGGATGCTGCTATGCTCTTCGATATACATACCAAGTCAGAACTGCGATCGGGCGACAAACTCACGTTTCTTACCAGTGATCCGGATGGACATCCACTCCCATCTATGGAGTTGTTGCAAATGCAGTGGATTTTGAACCGTGTTCTTGCACTCAGTGGTGTTGCTGAGCCCCGTTACAAATAGCCCGATGCTGATCCAGTATGATTTACAATATGGAGAGGATAAAGGTGATGAAGAGGAGTGAGGGTACCCAGTCTGGTTCGGTGCTTAAATCCCCTATCCGAAATCATCAAAAGTTTACAACAACTTTCACGCGGACTTTGTTGCGTTCTTACTATGTACTGACGTGCGGGAAACCTGTGCAAGGCATTGCAAGCACTTTACCAAGCACTCGTCAAGTATCTTTAAGCACCTTGTGAAGTAGCTCAACGCTCTAGCCCATTATATGGTTCGAACGTTATATCATTTACGAATCGTCTATTCCTTATAACTTACTACCTAACAGTATCTCGTTGCCTCTCACCTTGGCTCCCACCTCTCTTCCTTTCCTCTCCTTTTTCTCCTTCCATCTCGTACCTCGACTGTCCTGGCTAATCAGCTCGGCTCCTAACGCCATTACTCTTCCGCACACCATGACCTCCGAACCAGCCATGCCTCCAAGGCAGCCAGGATGAAGAGCACAGTGGTCCCATGCAGAGCAGTTGTTTGTAGCAGTACCCTCTCTGTCTCATACTCATCAAACATCTCGCACCGTATCTCCCCAAGACAACATCGCACTCACCGAAGCGGTGAGCGCTGGCAGAATACACCATTCCCCGGGCTCCGGTCGGAACCTGCCTTCTGCCACTTCAGCCTGTCTATTCCACACACTTCCTTCCAATGGTCCCTGCAGCTGGCACCGACTTCCTTACTCCCCGTATACGAGTAAATTACAGATACGCATCAAAGAAAGCTATCTATAACCACAACCCAACCCGAGCCAGTTAAAAAAAAACCCACTGCCCATGACACGACACCACCAACCCACCGCATATGCACGTCAGGAATGCATGGGCCAGAACCAAAGCCACTCAATGTTGCCGTGCATGAGGAAGTTGCTCAAAAATGAATGGTGGGTTTGGTTCACCAACCGGATTATTTCCTGCTTTGAATGGCAGTGCACGGGCCAGATTTATGGGTTGCCAGATGCCAAGAGGTTACCGTGCATATGGAGTTCGCTCTGAAAGCCCTAGTATGGGCGGCTTACCAATTGGATTACTTTGCGCGCTGGGTCAGCTATGCACAGACCAGATCTGTGGGGTTTGAACTGCCAAGCAGTTTCCGTGCATATGGAATTCGCTCTAAAAATCATAGTGGGGATACTTTACCAATCGGAGTACTTCCTGCCTTGGACAGCTGTGCACAGGCCAGATCTGTGGGTTTGTAAATGCCAAGAGGTTACCGTGCATATGGAATTCGCTCTAAAATCAAATATGGAGACAGATTCACCAATCAGGTAACATGATACTTTAGATCCACTACGCACGGACTAACTATCTATTTTTAGTACCAACTACCAAATGCCAAGAGATTCGTACAGAGTATGCATGACAGTGGGACAAGTTCACTCTAAAATGCATAGTGGGGCAGTAGTACCAATCAGATTGTTCCCAGCGCTTAAATGACTGAGCACGGACCAGTTGTCTCTGTGCACGGGCCAGATATTAGCTGCTGTGGAGCCTTTGAGAGGAATGAAAAATTCGCTCTAAATATGTGGGGCTGGTGGTAGACTGTCCAATTGGAATGTGGTTTATTTTGGTCTGGATTTGGGCCTTAGGCAATCGCGGATCAATCAGATGATCCGAGACGGAGAAATTGGCTTTCCCTGAGGGGTTGATTGTCTACTATGAATAGATTCCGATCCGACATAACATACAACAAAACTCCCTAACACCGGCTTTTCTTCATCACCACATAACAAACATTAGCAGTTCACCTCCAAGCCACCTTTTGTATCCACAAAACAAGAAACCTAAACAACATCAAGTCTAACTTGCGGAGCACGAGTGTCAAGGGTATTACTGGAACGATATAATGTACCTGACGACGATATCTCACATGTGATGGTTCATTGCGATTGGACAAACAGCTACGTATTAGCATAAATGAACCTCCTGATGACGTTGAGATATTCTATTGGAAGTTAAAAGCTGTTGCGGGACTCCTCATTGATTGTCAGGCCAAACAGACTATACTTAAGCTTAAGCGATCGATGAGAGCATTGACGGTGCGCTTTGTACTGGTGATTTCACAGCTCTGGACTGCCTCGTGGGTGCCCAGTTCGATTTGGTAGGGCTGGACCATTTTTCCATCGCAAGTGACCGTGGTTACTAGTACACGCCACCAAGGCTTGTCTGGACGACAGATTTGAGTGTGAGACTGAAATCTAGGCTGGAGGGATATGGAGGACATCATTGAC